CATATCTCTCGTAATAAAAGCCAATAGTTGGTGCAAATTATCCTATAGGATTTCTAGTAAAAATTTAACTACATAAAAGGATTAGAGCTAGCACTCTATGATTTTCATAGCTTTTCTTGTGGGTGTTTTAGCTATGTTGATTATCGATAATGGCTAGACACTTAGACAACTCATTTATGCAAATGTTAAATTTACGCTAAAAGAGGTAATCTTTTACCCTCATTTTTTATTCATACATATGTGATTAGTTGATTCAATGACTTGATCTTATGAGCCTTATATGAAGAAAATTTTTTATTTTATTCTCGCATCTCCATAAGATGCATGATCCTATAAGGGAAAGAAAAATGAAAGTCAAATTTTGATGAGGCCTAAAAAGTGTGGCGGCCTAGTCCTAGATAAAAGCAAAAGGAAATTGGTACAATTGAGAGAGGGAATGGAATACATGGTGAAGTGGGCCCATATGTAGTTAATGAAAAAAGAGTGTATAGTCCAATTCATGAACCAACTAATACACAAACAAATGTTCAAATTAGAAATAACCAAATACGACCAATTTGACTACTTAGGGTCGGATTCAACAAAGTAAGCACATCGGAAGATAGCAAAAGCACTTTAATGCCTTTGAGAATGATTTGCCACCCTCCATCATACAACCACAACCAACTCCTCCTTCAGCAAACTCCTTGGTATATCCTCTATTAAACTCTGTGTCTTATAAAAGGTTTTCCCACTCACATAAAGCTTTTTAGCTTCTTTTCGATAGTAAAGCATGAACATTGGTGAGAGGCGATGAAGAAAAAGATACAAGCCTTAAACGAGAATAGGACTTAGACTTTGAAACCACTATCGATGGGTTAGAAGGCAATGGACTTGATATAGGTCTAAAAATTTAAGTTCAAACCAAATAAAAAAAGTAAAATGATTCAAAGGGTAACTAGTTACAAAGGGGTTCACATAAATGGAAGGGATTGATTTTCATGAGACCTTTGCACTAGTTGTAAAGCTTGTTATAGTTAGATGTCTTTTATCAATTATTACTAAGAAAGGATGGATAATTCATCAATTAGATGTGAATAATGCTTTCCTTCATAGAAATTTAGAGGAGAAAGTTTACATGCCAATACCATAAGGAGTTGCATGAAAAGGAGAAACAAGAGTGTGTAAGTTGAAGAAATCATTATAGAGATTGCAACGAGCTTCTAGAAATTGGTATCAAAAATTTACCAATGCCTTACTTAATGTGGGTTTTGGGTAGTCAAAAGGAGACCATTCATTATTTATATACAAGAGAGGAGAAGTATCTGTTGCAGCCTTGATCTATGTTGATGATGTTATACTTGTTGGAAATGACATGGAAAAGATATAACAAACAAAGTTGTATCTTGATAAGGAATTCAACATCAAAGACTTGGGTCCATTAAAGTACTTCTTATGAACTGAAATTGCAAGGTCACCACAAGGTATGGCCCTCGGTAAAAGGAAATACACACTCGACATTTTGGGGGAAAATGGAATATTAGCATGTTGTCCTAGCACTTTTCCAATGGAGTAAAATGATAAATTGTAAGCGGATAGTAATGGTCATATCATTGTTGTTCAACAATACGGAAGGTTGATAGGGTGTCTATTGTACTTGACAAGTATGAGACTAGACATTACATATGTTGTTAATGTACCTAGTCGGATCATAATTTCAACACGATAAGAGCATATAGGCACTATGGAACGAGTTCTACAATACTTGAAAATGGCACCGGGATAAGGAATTATGTTGCTAACAACAAAGGATCTAACATTTGAGGCATATTGTGACGAATATTGGGGAGGATGTCCTATGACACGAAGATCTTGTACATGTTATTACATTACTTTAGGTGGATCATAGGAAATAAAGAAACAAATTATAGTTGCAAAATCTTTTATGAAGACCGAGTACGAGCCATGGCTACAATCGTGAGTGAATTATTATGGTTACGATGGCTATTAATAGACTTGCAAGCACTATAATCGGGACCCATAAGATTATTTTGTGATAATCAAGTTGCATTCCACATTCACTATAAGAAAAATGACGAGTTAGGGATAGAAAAATTCGTCACTATAAAGAGAAATTCTATCGCTAAAAGTGTTTAGTGAAATATTTGAGATAAAAAAAATCCACCCCTAAAATGCTTGTCACTAACCCTAGTTATGCATAAACGAAATCCGTCACTAATGTAGCAATGGTTTTTTCATCACTAAATCTCCATATTTTGTTGCTAATTGGTCATTAAAATCATCTTCACACCTAATAATACATCTCTATTCCGTCGCTAAATGAAAAAAATTCCAACTCGCCCATCCATTGCTAAGTTCACTAATTTTTTTTTTAAATTGATAAATTTATTTTTTGTTTGTTTCTAAATTTGTGATATTCTTGGGAGTAATTAACAATTAGAAAAAATAATATATAATTAAAATTAAAATTAATAAAAAATATTCATTTAGTATGTTAAAAAAGAAAAAAACAAATAAAAAATTGAAATGTCACTCCCGATCGCCATTCTAATCATCTAATCCCCTCTTCTCCTCTTGGGGCTCGTCCTCCTAGGGTTGGGAGGGATGGTGGAGTCTTGGTTGGTGGGTGGATCGCGTAAGCAACTCGGACCCATCCGCACAAACCTATTTAACGTCGAAGGAAGCCACTCATAGTAAGACCGCAACCCTTGTATGGTACTCTATTACTCGCATGAGAATGTTTTTCAGCTCATCTTGTTTGGACCGCATCCTCTATATCGCCTCCTTGTACACCCTTTGAATCTCCTCATGGGGAATATCACCGACGATAATGCGACGACACACAAAATGAGTCGGCACTATCTAATTGGAATAGATAATATGACACTTATGTGCCTACACCAAATAACGTCATCTTCTTCTCCCTTATAATCTTGATGTATATGCTTGTTCTTGTCCACCTATGGCTCTAAGATTCCTTTCGTTTGTTGCTTCATAACGGCATTTTGCATGAGATTGTCAACATGGTCATGCATAATCAAAATAATTATAAAATTAAAAGATTAAATAATTTTTTAGATTATATTTGCTTATATAAAATTTAAAGATTAAATAATTTTTTAGATTATATTTGCTTATATAAAATTTAAAGATTAAAAACACTTACCATTGTATGTTGGACGGGCGAGATCGAGGAAAAAGCCATCTCGTCGCTTGTGAGTGGCCTCAAATAGAAAAATTTAGGAATTTAATTGGCCAATTTGATTATTTCTTATATAAAATGAATATTGTAAATAATTATGAAATTTACTAATTAATTTGAGAAATATTAAAGACATAAATTAGCTTAGCTTAGCCCAATGTAATTTATTTTAATAATTAAATGAATTTTTCAAATGTAAAATTTTCACCTTATTTTAGGATTTTTATTCTTAATTAATGATTGATTAAATTAAGTTAAATGAATTATTTTTATAAAAGTAATAGGACACTTATGTGAAGCCCACATTTAACATTGGACATAAACTAGGGTTTTAGCCCAACATCAGTAATCTAGTACTTGTTTATTTATATGCTAATCATGCCTAAATATTTTTATAGAAAGGCCTAGAACATCAATTGTGTTACAGTAATTAGGCATAGTCCACTTAAAAGATTTCAAGTGTAACTTCATTAAAAAACAAAAATACTTGTGCCTTGTTTTATTTATTTATTTATTTTGAAATTGAGATACACAAATAATGCATTAATTGCTAGATTATTATTGTGAAATTATAAGAATAAAGAAAAAACTTAATAAAATTATTAGTGGAATTATGTAATTGTTTATGGTGTATTATTATATATATATAAACTATTTTTTGAATACAAGCCGAGTTGCACATGTACTAGAGTTACATATAAAATAAATTAATGGAGCTTTAAGATCTTTAAATGGCTTTCGATTTGACGGAACGTTTGTTTCTTATTGCTTTTTAATGTTATGGCTTTAATTTAATTCAAATGGTAATTAAATTTTTAAAAATCAATTAATTAATCAAATGGACTATAATTAATATTAAAAATCAATCAACCACTAAAAATAACCATAATTAAATTAACTCTAAATCAAATTAACTTAATTAAATTAATCCTAACTAATTACATTAATCCTAATTCAAACGTTAATTAAATTTTAAAATAACAACTAATAAATTAAAAAAATTAAACTAATAACTAACAAAAAGAATTAAGAAAATAAAAAATTAACAATTAACTAACAAAATTTTAACCTAACAATTAATCAACCAATTTGTCTAAATTACCCCAACAATTACACAAAATTTAACCTAACAAAATTAACAAAGAGATTGTCGTAGTGGTTTTTAGGCGAGAGAGGCACCTTGTTGGATTGAATAGGTTGGGGAGGGAGTGGGTTGGTGGTTAGGGCTGTTAGTGGCTACAGCGAGGAGAGAAGGAAAGGAGGAGGAGAGGGAAAGGGAGAAAAATTAGGAGGAAAGAAAGGAGTTGTTAGGTTATAGGTATTTAGGATTAGCGATAGATGCAATTTCGTCACTAATCCATCGTTAATTAGCAACGGATGTAAGTGTCCGTCGTTAATTTGAATTTTAAACAAGCGGCTAATTTTCAAAAATTTTGAGTGAATTTCGTCCCTAATCAACGTAGGTAGCGACGAATATTATCCATCGCTAAGCCAACAATGTTTTTTAGATGGAATTTGTATTCCATTGATAATTTCCCTAGTTAATTTCTCACAATTCCATCGGTGAAGTTAGCGTGGATTATTGACGAGCTCTTTAGTGACAAAATTTTTTCTATCACTACATTTTCGTTGCAAATCCGTCATTGTTCCATCGCAAATTGTTGTATTTTTATTTCCATTGCTATTTGATCACTGTTCAGCAGCTAATTAGCGACATAAGTAATCCATCGCTAATTGCCTATTTTTTGTAGTGATTGCGACAAACTCGTTATTCTATGAAAGAACTAAACAAGTTGAAATGGACTGTTACTTTGTTAAAGAAAGAGTGCAGTTAAATGAAATTGCGTCAGAAAAGATTTTGACAGGAGCACAGCTAGCAGACATGTTCACAAAGGAATTTGGTAGAGACAGGTTCATGTCCTTAGTTGTCAAGTTGGGTGTTAGCCAACTTGAGGGGGAGTGATGGAATGGTCAAAGATTACCAAAGATTGCTCTACTATTTTAGTTGTTGATTGAGACGAGATTATATATTAACACATGTAACTACTTAGCCATGTATAGCTACTGCTATAACTTAGATGGTTGAACTTCTATGTTTGGTATATTTTTCCTAAACTAGAAGTATCAACTGCTGTATTTATATGCTTAACAGTAATGAAAATGCGACAGCCGCATAAAATATTTCAAACATGAAGAAGGCAGCCTTGCAAAAGTAGATGTTATATTTGACCGAGTAAGCTACTGCATAGAAGAGCTTGTAAAGCAGTGTTCGAGGCGATCATTGAAGTTTAATATCTAACACAAATGCTGTTTCCATTACGCTGCTTCCGTATCAAAGGAATGTTTTATTTTACAAGTACATGAGCTTATATAGATAGATGTATGATGAAGTTCAATATATTTACATGCACGGTGTTTCCATGGTGCTGCGCCTCTACGTGTACAGTTACACAGTGTTTCTATGGTGCTGCGTCTCTAAAGAAAATAGACGGATGATCGCACAAAGGAAAGGAACTACCTGGACGGTGGCCGACATGTACTTGACCCATACGCAAAAAGAAAAAGAAAAATCTGACGTGACCGTATTTTGTAACGCAAAATTAAAGCAGGCAAATTCTCAGAAAATTCATCACCAACGAAAAGATTACTACATCATGTTACTATAGCAAGCACTCAAATGCTAAGTTGTCTTTTCTTTTATGCTTATGAATAAATCCAACGGGATTCACTGAACGAGGACGTAAAAGCATTAAAGTGATCAATGCCACAACACACATAGGTGAGAGAGTGCAACAATAATTGCAATATTCCAAGCTCCGGGGACAAACTTTTGCTTGTTACAGTGTCTATTGATGATTGATGCAAGATGGTTAATTAAGATGAGGCACCGAGAGATCAAAATTTTGTTTTTCTTGAATTAAAGTGTTCGCAAAATTATCTTAATTGAAGTAATAATTAATTGTCATCCTCGTTAATTGGGTATGACATAAATAAATAATTTCTCTTATAAAAATTGAATCCATATGCTAGATAGACGAAAGTTGCTAATTTAGAAAAGAAAAAGATGAAGAAATTAAATTTAGTAAGTTCTCTTGTAAAATATAAGACAATTAGTATTAATTATATGCATATTTCTTATTTAAAAGGGTATTTAGAGAGTACATAGTAAATTGGATTTTCTTAAAAGACAAATCAAAAGATAGATTTAATGCTCGGTTAAAAATTTGATAGTTTTTGTTGTTCTTTTATCATTTAAAAGTGAATTTATTAGTAAATTTATCTTTTTTTTAAGAGATTAGGTCTTAAACTACATAATATGGCATAGTCATTTCTTATTATATAATAATCAAATAAACTAGAACCGTTAAGACTCAAAACTACTTTATAGAAAAAGATCATTGGGCACACAATCTCTAAGACCATGCATGTTTGTGTAATTTTTTTATCTTTTTAATCTAAAAAAAATTACTACATCTATCTTTATATTTTAGAGATTGTGTCTAACCTATTTCTAAGTATTTAATAGCATCCAATTTATTTTTAATTTTAATTTTAATTTTTCAGTTTATCCTTTAGTTAGACTCCCTCCATCCAAACTAACAAATTAAATTACAACACATAACTTACAAATGATGAAATTAAGCTTTTATATAGCTAAAATACCATTGATCTTGAACTCATTAATGTCAGTAATGTAATTTTTTTTATTCAAAATTTGCTACATTTGTAAACTAAGCTCTCATGCTACATTTATCAAAAATTGAGTATTAAAATTGAGAATTAATGCTCAATCAAATATTTTCTTGATTAATCGAGAAACAAACTTGCTAAGAATTCAATTAAACGTTTAAGGATAGATTGGATACAACTCCTAAATTATAAAGACATATGAAAACATTTCTTCTCTGAAATATCAATTACAAGCAAAAAGTTAGTGAATCTATAAAGTTAAAATAATAATTAATCTATAATTTACCAAATCAAAACTATTTTAAGGTGTTAATTAAATCATTAAATTTAATCAGTTGACAACGTTGTTTTTTCCTCGCACCATCCGGTTTGTTTCCCAGCAGGTACAATATGGTTAAGGAACTTGCCCATCTCCCACCGTTCAATCTAGGAATAAACAAATCAAACTATTTTAATGTTTCAATCTAAACTGAAACACAGACCCTTGACTCCAGGGCTGCTTCCGAAGGCATCGAGGACCAATCAGGAACTGACAAATATCACTTCAGATTTAATGAACTAATATTAAAGCATAACACGACACCAAATATTCAAATGGACACGTGTCAACCTCACAATAATCATCCAACCTTGTCTTTGATCTTGATATCTTAGTACCCATGCTTGTGATAACTTTTATAATATTCAAAAAATAATCAGTGACATGATTATGAATAGAGAACAAGAAATTTTCATTTCTCCATCCTCCCACCAAACCACATCCCCAAAAATTTAAACTTGGACATGGTAAAAGGTCAAGTGGCACGGTTGTTCTTGCTACTAGAAGAGAGAACTCCGGAGATTGGAGGAGATATGGAGAATCAGTACTTGTAGATGAAAGCATGATTGTGCTAAGGAAACGCATCCATGAAATGAAAATGGTAGAGAGAAATTATGAGCCGCCGGAAGAGTGGATGGAATGGGAGAAGCAGTGCTATACATCCTATGATGAATTTGTATGTAAATTTGTGGGGGTATTGCCCAACAATTGAGTGTCCCAGTACCATTGGTCATGATTGCCCAACAATTGATGGAGGCAACAGATGGAGTCTTCTCGACCGTTCATCTAGGTTGATTTGGATATATATATATATATCGTGCAGATGGAAATGTAAAAATGAACATATTTTATTATGCAATTTGTTTATTTTTATTTTTCATTTCTTAGTTGGGAGTGGACCAAATTGTCTTTCGCTGATTTTGATTTTGATTTTTTTTTTTAAAAAAAAAAAGTAGACCCAATAATAATATGGGCTTCAATCCAAATTTATGGATGCAACTATTAGAATCTTATATAGAGTCAAGCAGGAAAAGGAAAACAAAAACAACCCTAAAGTAAACCCAATCCGACGGACTATATAAATCTACAATCCCAAGCCCAATAATCAAGCAGGTGATCACCCATCAGAGAGATGAAAAGGAAGAAGGGGTTTTGGACAGCAAGACCCCACAATCTCAAGCCCAACTATCATGAAGAACATAAATTAACTTTTTTTTTAAAAAAAAAAAACATATTGTATTTTAGCTATTTTTTAAAGACATTGTTAGTAAATTTAAGGAGCTGGCTTGATAGTTAAAACAATTTACTCTTTTCTTGAATTTTTTGAATCATACAAACAATTTTATTTAAATTTCAATTTCTCTTAATACATCAGACCAAAGTATAAAATGTTTAAATCATTCAAAGAAAAACTTAGTTTCAATAACAAAAGTAATTCCATAGATTCAAATAAATAAACATCATGATAACCCTAAAAAAAGACATTGTAGCATACAGAAACGAAAGTAATTCAACAACAAGTTATAATCAATTAACTTCCGTTGTTAAAAACAAAAATGTCAAATAATTTTTTTTCTTTTTCTTATGTACTTAACTATAAATTAAAGTTTGTACTCAGCCAATTCGATTGTCATTATAAATTTTTGAACAAAGATACGTACATCAAATTCACCAATATATATATATATATATATATAGTTCATAACTTCATATGTAGCGGCCCAAATATGTAATGGGTACTTAAATAATATCATAACCACAAAATTATATATATATATTCTGCCGACGGTACATAATCTTTCACTTCTCACTTGATAGAACCAGCAAGATTCCTTTTCTATTAACAGAATCAAATCCACGCAAGGATTATCACAAATACTAAGTTTGCTTTATATATATAGTTCATAACTTCATGTAGTAGCCAAGTACATGGTTCAGATAAACAAAATTAAGATAGTTCAAATATTAATAACTAAATGAAATAAGGTGGATCTCTTCATGTGCATGAAGCTTCATTTTAACGCCCATTTTATTCGACTATATATATGTCAATATAACTTGCTCCGCTGCAAATTATTGATTCTTCAAGCACAATCCTCACTTGATACTGCAACACAATATCAATGAAAAAAAAAGAAAAAAGAGGCTATCAGATTGAAATTGGTTAGCACAATATATGTATGTTTTAAGTGAATCTACAAAAGATGGAAATAATATGCAAGTGTTTGGTGGCCGAGATTAATAAAACCTTTTGCAGTCAAGGGAGGGGCTAATTTTGTAGGGAATGTTTACACCGCACTTGGCTGGTATCCCAGCTACGACACCATAGTTGATTCCAGGGACGCTGCCGGCAAGTGATTTTATGCAGCCACAAGACTGCTGCCGGTCAGGTGTGGTCTTCGCAGCAGAATTCAATGCCCTGACCCCATTGCAACAGGATGCAGTCAAAGCTCCACCACCTTTCGCGTAGCTTATGCATGATGACAAGTCGGTGAAGACCTGAGCACAGGATACGGCTGCATGAGCTAGAGGTGCACCCAACACCATGCACATGACCAAAACACAAACCAGCTTATTTGAGGCCATGGATCTAGCCATAGAGAATGATTTTAGCAAATTAATTAAGGGCACTTGGTGAAATCAAAAGTATATCAGGAAGCTGAATGGTTATGAATAGCTAGCTAGGAGCTTAGTGTTTATATAGGACAGCTAGTGCAACAACGAAGTCGTTAAGTGGTTGGCTTCATTCAATGCTTGGCTTCATTCAATAGCTAGCTAGGAGCTTAGTGTTTATATAGGACAGCTAGTGCAACAACGAAGTCGTTAAGTGGTTGGCTTCATTCAATGCTTGGCTGTTTTCTTTCCATTTTAGAATCAAGCACACTTTATTTAGGATAGCATTCTGCTGTTTGTGTGTCGCATCTTTTTCAAAGAAAGCAACTCCAGAAAGCAAAGAATTAATTGCCTAGCATTAATTTGTACTGGAGCTTATGTTCATCGATCGATCGATTGCCTCAATTATTGACCCAGAATCTAATTGAGCAGGCTAAAAGCATTTGCAACAATCTATGCAACCTGAGTTTAACAAACACGTCTTCGATAATTGATTTTTCATCATACTATTGAAATAGTAGGATAACGTTCTGCTTTTTTTCCTTCAGATACTGGTGTAACGTATCTATATATATTGAGTATACTTACTATTCTTTGTGCATGCATATGCAAACCAGCTTATTGGGGGCCATGACGAAATCAAAAGTATATCAGGAAGCTGAATGGTTATGAATAGCTAGCTAAGAGCTTAGTGTTTATATAGGGCAGCCAGTGCAACAACGAAGTCGTTTTGTAGTTGGCTTCATTCAATGCTTGGCTGTTTTCTTTCAATTTTAGAATCATGCACACTTTATTTAGGATAGGACTAGATTTTTACCCGCAGCGTAAATGTAAAATCATTTTAAAAAATAATTTCCGTTTAATGATATGTATTATATTATAAGTTTATTAAAATATATAAAATTAATTTTTTTATTTATTTTGTGTTTAACTAATTATTTATTATGTTTTTCATTTTTTTTTTTTTTGGCTAAAAAGAATACGATTTATTCTTTTATATCCAGATTTTTAACTAAGAACTTGTGAAAAAAATTCAAAAATGCTTGGATTCTTAACTAACAACTTTTCTTATAATTATTTTTCAAAAAAATCTGAGATAAATTATCCAAAAAAACACTTTATATATATATATATATATATATATATATATGTTTTTTTTCATTTAAAAATTCAAATAATTAATTGTATAAATTATAACAAAAAAAATTTAAGAGCAAAAAATTATATTCTAAAAATTCATTATATATATATTTAACAATGCTATACCATTTAAAAATTAAATGAATTTGTCATATAAATTATATGAATTTTTTAAGAGCAAATAAAAATATTTTAAAAATTAATTAAAAAAATCCATAGATAGATCTTTCTCTCTCTCTCTTCTCTCTTTATTTCTCTTTTCTCTTAGAAGTTAGGGACTACATTACAATACAAATAAAGTTTTGGATCGAAATAAAAATTATTAAAAAAAATGAAGGATGAAAGAATAAAATGAGCAAAACTTTACATATCAAATGGTTGGAAAAAAACCTCAAAATTACCAAAAAAAAATAAAATTAAAAGGGGTGTGAATAGTGTTATGAATGAAATAAATACCAAAAATAAATATTTAAAATAATGAAAATGTAACTTTCTTAAAATTATAAAAATATAATCAAATGAACAGTATTATGTGAATGTTGAAAAGTATAGAAATAGTAAAAATCCTATTTTTTAGGACTCTTGTAATCACCACGCAGCAGCATCCAATAGAAATGAAAAAATTAACCGAGGATGAAAGCATGACTGGAAAGCATTAAATACTAGAACAAATCCATTAGCAAATGACGAAAAAGGGCACCACATACAAAAGCAAGGGCAAACCCATAACCTCACACTAACACCCAATGACAAAAAAGAAAATAAAGTGAGAATGAGAGGGCATTGTCCTGATAACAGAATAAAAGGTCGCAAGATTCATAAAAAATAAAAAATAAAAAATATATATACATAAATACTTATATATTGTATATGAACAGACTATGAACAGCTTTACACCCACCTCTTTTAGTTTTTTACCTAATTCAGTCGTATCACATCTTTTTCAAAGAAAGCAATCCCAGAAAGCAAAGAATTAATTGCCTAACATTAATTGGTGCTGGAGTTTATATTCGTCGATCGATTGATTACCACAATTAACAAAGCCAGTGTTCGATAATTGATTTTTCATCAAACTATTGAAATAGTAGGATAACGTTCTGCTTTTTTCCCTTCAGATACTTGTGCAACGTATCTATATATATTGAGTATACTTATTATTCTTTGTGCATGCATATGCAAATTAGGATCGTGTATGAACTATGAATTCTGGAAGTTACTGCATCAAGGTAACTCCCAATTTTTTTTTTTTTTGGGCATATTAAGTTTGAAATGTTTTTATCCCTCCAATTTTATTACATTTAGGTTTAACTCCTTTTTTTTTTTCCAATCTATATGATTGAAATTATGTTAATTAAAAAAAAAAAGTTAACTTTGGATTTTGTAGGCCTGGGTTAAAAAAAAAAAAAAGAAAAAGAAGTAAAAGTGTTGTTTTTTTTTTTTTTTAAGCCAATAGAAATTTGCAGATTATTTTGGCTAAATCATATGGTATTCTTTTGAACTTTTGATGAAACTTAAATTAGTTCTTAAGTTGAAAGATTATTTAAAACACTACTCAGAACTTAAATTCATAATTTTCTAGAATAGTCCTTCTGTCAAGAATTCCATCATGGATCCATTAATCTATCACTAAAAAGAATAAGAAAATTAAATTAAATTAAAGTTAATCAAGTCTATCTTAAAAAGAAAACAGAAGGAACAAGAAATAGAAAGATAAAAACAAATCAGAGAGAGATGGTTGTTTCTTCATTTTCTTCTTTAAGGATTCTTGACTCTCCTTTCCATCCATCATTTCTTTCAAGTGTTTTGATTTCTTAAATTCTTATTATTAAAAAATCACTCGATTCATTATTGGAGTATATATATTTATTTATTCTTATATAATACTTAAAGTCTTTCATTTATCTTTAAAATTTTTTTAAATGCTAAATTTGTCACTCTAATCAAACATTTCAATCATGAATAAATTCTTTGAATCAAAATACTCTTTATTAAAATACAAAAAATACAATTAAAGTTACATGATTTTTTTTTTTTTTTTTTGCATTTCAATCGGAGATATTTCGATAAAAAAAAATTCTATGATTGGAAATATTGATATGAATGGCAGATTGAATATTTTAAAAAAAATTCAAAGATAGATAAAATATAATTAAAAACTTAGGAATATATATGAAAAATTTTAAGTATTATATAAGAATAGATAAATATATTTAACTTCATTGTTCTAAAAAACCATTCTCCAAACTCAATCTATTTCAATCATATATTTTAAAATTTTATTATCAAAATATTCGATACAATGCATTAAAAAATCCTTCTTAATTGTGTCCATAAAAAATTAATTTTAAAATATACCAAAATTAGTCTAGAGACACCTTTATTATTCAATAAAAAAATATACTAATTACTTCCAAGTTCCAACAACTCGGTAGCCAGCTCTATTCCATTTTAATAAAATTCTGACCCCAGCAACTAGGCTTCTTCGTTAGGAAATTTCGTCTGAAAGAACCTCATCATAAATGACCGGGCACGTCCACATCGGACATACAGTGTACGCGTGGCATACTGATACTATCATTATCATGTGTCACTCTCAAGTCTTTTATCAGGCATGTTATCATTGCCAAAGATATCATGACATACCACGAATTCTTATGTACTGCCTATATCTTATCACTGATTACTACTACTTTACATTTAATATTTATATCTACTTTTATCATCTATTTATTTTGGTTTAATTGCTTTCACAAAAATATGGAAGCAATCCCCTTATTATTTTAATTTCCTACACTTCCTCTCCAGTCATTTTCTTCTCCCAAACAAATCAAGGTGTAACTCAGAGACGTAGTACTTGAAAGTTCATGACCAGACGAGTTATTAGTAAAAATTATAATTGTCATAACCCAATTTTTTCTTTAAAGGAAAAAATAAAAAAATAATAATAATAATAATAAAACAAAAAAAAAAACAAAAAAGGAAAAAATATAAAATCTCCAAAAAATCTATTAAAATCTTCCACCGATCTTTTTTAATTAGAATCTCCTTATTTTTAACTAGAAAAAATCTCAAATTTAAGATTCGATAAATAAAATTTGATTTGATTTTGGGAGAAATTTTAGGATGTTTTCGGCCTATAAAAAGCTTTCAGATTTCAATTTGCGAAAAGAGGAGAAAGTGGAAAAAAAAACAAGAAGAAAAAACGCAGCCAAAAACAAAAAAATACCGAAAACATAAAAAGAGGAAGGCAAACACGTCCTAACCCATCAAACCGGACCCGATTACTCGTTAACCCGTTCGAAAACTTTGAGCCTCAATTGATCGTTTTCCGATCAGATTTTGATCCCGATCAACACACCCACGTGTAGACCATCACTAGATCGACCGATCCATACCCATTGAGAGAGAAAAACCCACAAAGGAGAGAGAAATTGAAGTTTAAACCACCACGACCCGACCCGAAAACGATACCCGATCGTTTCTCTCAACTCCGGTCACCAACACAAGATCCATCACCACGGACATGATCGCCCATCTCCTCCGAGTAATTCCATTTAAACATATCGACCCAACGACACCGAAAAACGGTTTAATTGACCTCGACCCGTTTTCGACCCGTTTTGGTAAACCCGAAAAAATTGGCCAATCTAGGAATAATTGGAGGTCGTAACCACCATAGAACTTCTTCTCATGACCGTGCGAGTCGACAGGTGGGTTTGGAATCCCGATAGGAGGTCGGATTCATCATCGGTGAAGAAGAGAGATCCGGTCGAACCTTTGGAGGCTCCTATCTCCCTCCTCCGGCATCTTCTCCGGTTGGAACCACCGCCATTGGAGTCGCAATG